TTCAATGCATAGTTTTTAAATATTCCTAAAAAATATTAAGATCTTTTTGAGAAGCTACACTCAGAAGCATTTGAGAAAAGTTTGTACCTTTTAACATTAATTAGGCATAAAAGCTTCAATGTCAAACAAAACTAATTCAAACAGTTATCTTTTTATCAAATACTACCACTATCTAATTTAAAGGTTCCCGTCCACTATTCTCCGGTCAACGTAAAATCTTATTAATCTTTTACTTCATATATCTAACTTTTATTAAATTAGAATTTTTCTATTGCGGCTTTATAAAATTTTAATGTAGTTTCTGAATGTGTTAATTTTATTTACCAAAAAAATATAACTACAGACAAAAATCGGTTAACTTTATGATCGCGTGGGAACCTTTCTACGGGACGGAGAAAGTATCTACTTTCTTTTTCTATCGAAATATTTTGATTCACTAAAAGCCAACGATTATTAATAGCTCACAAAAATATCTTTTCAGCATAAATTGTCAAACATACCCTAAAATCATAAATAAAATAATTAATACCGATCGAGCACAACTTTTTTTAGGAACAATTCAGGCCAGCAACTACCAATCGATTAAAGTGTCACTCATTAAAATACTATTTTGTGGGAAGTAACACATCATTTCGAAAACCGATTTTCAAAATTGGATGTTAAATATATAGAAAAAATATTGATGTTAGATTAAAGTCCTAATTAATCAGATTTTCTAAACATTCGGTCTTGTCTCTTGTAAAGCCCATAAAATTTGCATTGAAAATCATATCGAAATGCTGATGCTAGAATGAATAAATGACCACATAAAAGGAAGCAATCTGCGTTTATACATTGTGCATGTTTTTTGAACTAATAGTTTCAATCTGCATATTTATAAAAACTAATTTAATTTGTATTTCTGCCATTTTTATTTTTCGAACATACATTGATATCAAATTACTTTTTAATGATATAATTTGTACTCTCAACCATCTAAAATGTTAGATCTCAACATCAACTAATATAGGCAGTATATTAAAAAAATCGATTTATGTCTTGACTTATATAAAAAAAAATGAGTATTAAAACAAACTTATCGGGGGCCACTACCAGTATGTGTTTTGTAATTGTGTACCATCTCAAATTCTATTTGTGCATAAAGTTTTACTTATTTTCTTTTCTAATTGATTCAGGTGTAGTAGATAATTGATACACAAACGTAACCTTCACCCTTGGGAAAACCACATTAACAAAATTGTAAACAAATTTTAATTAAACACTAAATTAAACTTTGATGAACTTCACCTTTGGAATCAAGTGTTCATATCTTTTCTTTAGGTAAAATGTTGTGATGTACATATTTGTACATTTCTAATGAACGATTAATGTTAACTACTACTAAATTGCTATTACGTTTGCATTAGGAAATTAAATATCTTTTCAATATTTACCATTGTATTTATGTGCTTTTCAAGTAAAAAATGACATAGATTTGTCTCGATTTACACATCATGAAGTAGCACATCCTAGATTGCATGTGAATGACATTTTTATACGAACATATTTAAATTAGATTATATCTGTGAGAGCACGTTTAAAAAAAATGATATTATTGGAAATTGTAGTTATTGATTGGATTTGGAAGTAAAAAATTGAATAATGTGCGTTTTAATATACATTTACCTTTGCATTATGTAAGAATACACATTCCCATCCGTTGACGACTTGGCATCTATCATGGCATGCTTCTCCTCGCATTGAGAAAATTGTTATAATTGTACGGTTGTACCAATATATACCATCAATGGCGTATGTTGATAGTTGATCATGGCAAACACCGCGACTTTAATTGGCTGCATATAACACAGACAAAAATTAAGTGAATACTTCCCATGCAATAGAGTAAAAGTGCATAGTTTTTCATATATGACGTGATTGACGTCAAACTGTGGATAGACTTGGAGGCAATTTATATTCTAGGTTGGCAGTTGTTTTGATTTTTGAATGGGCATAACAGCAAGAGATGATAATTTCTAGAGGTGCGATTTCTTTTGTAACTATATAATTTTAATATATCCATATCAATACGTGTTGCAGTTATTTTCCACGTAACGCAACTCTAGCAAACGGTTAGTGGCATTTTATTACTGTGATGTCATGATGACATCAGGTGTTTGCCTGGCGGGAACAGTTAATGGCCACGGTTCCCTTTTTATATATATAAAGATATCCTGTGAGTCCTAAGGGACCCCATAATTGTTTGATATTTTTTGACAAGACCAATCAACCATAGCTTGTATCTTGGTTGGATCAGTGGACACCCCTCTTCCAGAAATGATGTGTCCCAAATATTCAATGCTTGTAACTCCAAAAGTGCATTTGCTTCTTTTGGCGAAAAGTACATTGTTCTGCAACACCTTTAGAGTTTGTTCCATGTGTATAACGTGTGACTCTAAATCAGGACTATATACCAGAATGTCATCAAACAAGACTAAAATGAATTTCCTAAGAAAGGGTTTAAAAATGAAATTCATAAGACTTTGAAAGGTGGAGGGAGCATTGGTCAAGCCAAAAGACATCACCAGGAATTCATAATGGCCTTCATGGGTTCTAAATGTTGTCTTTTCAATATCTTCCTACCTCATTCTGATTTGTCGGTATCTAGATCTCAGATCTATCTTGAACAAAATACTTGGAGCCATGAGATTCATCCAACAACTCATCTATAATAGGTATGGAGAATTTGTCTTTGATAGTTTGTTTGTTCACCTCACGGTAATCCGCACAGAACCTCCAACTGTTATCTTTCTTTTTAATCATCACAATGGGCAAATTATAGGGACTGACTGTATCTTATGATTCCATGTTCCAGCATTTCTTTTGTGATTTCTTCAATAGCAGATTTCTGGATTGCAGGCTATCTATAAGGGCAAACATCGACTGTATTAGAGCCCGACTTGAGGTGAATTTCGTGATCATGACTCCTTTAGAGAGGTAGTGTTTTTGGCTCCTCAAACACTGCAGAATACCTTGACAAAACCTCCTCAATAGGTGCAAGAATATTCTTCAGTTGGTTCATTTCTCCATGTACTTAAGAATCTTCATCCAGTTGTATCTTGATCATAAAGAATTGCCCTACATTCATTCTTCTTTTTTATGCATCTCTCTTTAGCTTGTTTTCCGATGAGCCAATGCAAGTTTCCCTTCTTACATCCTCTTAACACACCCTTCTTCCATTATACTGAAATTCCATAGTCAATTTTTCAAAATACCATTTGATAGGTCCCAAAGAGGCTAACCATTGGACACCCAATACCATCTCACACCCTCCTAGGGGTACCAACATGGTATCCCCAACAAATTCATTCCCATGTAGCTCCCATTTGAATTGCTGGCATGTTTTTGTAGTGACATTATGGCCTTGTGTTTTATTAATTCGTTTACCTATTAACTTTGGAATCTATCTAGATGGCATTATCCAGATTGTAAGTCGGAATATGGCCTTGTGTTTTGTTAATACTTGGTATTTTTCTCGAATTGTCGATTCAAGATCGTCACTTCATAGTTTTCACATAGAAAGACATTCACTAGTCTAAAACTTATTAACCTTATGGCTTCCGTTTATTGAGGCAGGATATATCCTAGTGTGAAGTCGTGTTAGAAGCCTCTTACATTGGTGGGATCATTTTAAAGACACTCTGATGTAAACCATGCCCAATTTGTTCAACCTTTAACCTTCAAAGATTATTTAACCTTGAGAAAGGTTGTTTGACCTTGAAAAAGGTTGTTTAACCTTGAAAGAGCTTGTTATTCTCAATTCTGAAAATTAAACATCAAGGGGAATGATAATTTATTTGAAACATCTTCAGCTCTATATTTGACTAATAGTGATCTACTACCTTCTTTAAGATACCTCTTAAATACTAATGCCCACTAACTGTTCAAAAAAATACCCAAGTGAATTTTTGTTCATTTTTTAGTGAGTGTTTATTCTTTGTTGCACTTGAATAAAGTATTGAGTGTGTATACTTTATTTTTCATAATAGTTCTTTGTTTTAAGTAGATTTAAATACATTTTTTCTACTTCCACATCTTTAATGATAGTTTAATACATTATTAATAAAGAATATACTACATTGCATATTATAGAAAGGGGTTTCTATTATATTTGAATGAGTATAATGCTACAATGAAATGTGTACACACAAATGAATATTTGAGCACATTAGACAATTCAAATGATCTTTTAAATTTTTTGATACTCAATTCGTAAGTTATGTGTGTCATTTGGTACGGGTGTTAAGCTCATTTTAAAATGCTATATCAATGCATATCTCAAGAATATAATATTACACTAGATTGCATATTAGATTGACATATTGAATTCATAGTAGTTGAATATAGATATAATTTCAAAAAAATAAAAAGGGAGAAATTAAGAATAAGAAAGTGAACTAGAAGTTATGGCAACATAGATCGCGACATTTAAATGCAGACTTCTAATGCTCAATATAGAAGACTTGATGCTCAATGAAAAATGTCTTGATACTCAACTAGCAGTACTTACGATTTTTATATAATGCATATTCAAAAGTACAATATTGAATTAATTCCACTTTTGGTCCTATGAGTTTTATGTCGTTTCCACATTTAATTCACGTCTTTCACTTTGTCCACTTTTGGTACTTGACTAATGTTTCTTGACCATTTGTTCTCCTTCTCCGGGGATTTAAACAACTGGAAATATTGCAGGAAGGACCATATATGAAAAAAATTACAATAGTCATGTATCAAAAGTGGTCAAAGACGTGAACCAATTGGGGAATTGGTGCAATATTCGTCAGACCAAAAGTGAAATTTATTCTATTGGAACTCATACGAGTTGCTTATAGATACTCCGTATAATTTAAGATATTTTATAAACGAAAAAAGTGAATTAGAAGGTATGAAATAAAGATCACGATGTTCAAAATTAGACCCCTAATACTCAACAAAATAAGCTTGATGATTGATAAAGGTACATTGATATTCAACTAAATGAAGCCACAATTTTCAACTAAAATTACCAAAATACCACCGGCTGTACAGTGCACACCATACAACTGATGGTACGATATACAGACTCTCACTTACTTAGGATATTATTGTTCAAATACATATATATCATACTAGTGATTGTCTCTAAGACATACATATAACAATCTCCTACTTGGCCTAGTGCCAATCACCATCGAATCTAACACCTAGATTCTCAAAATGTGTAGTCCGTCTTATTCACAGCTCAAAGGTTGGAATAGCGAAATTGTCCTTAGTGGGAACACATTCTATTGTTGCTTCTCCTCTCGCTATCAACTCTCGAACCACACGATAGTGCTTTGGAACATGTCCATTATTTTTGTTGCATCTTGGTTCCTTTGTTTGTGCAATAACAGTGTATTATCACAATAAATAGTTATTAGACATCAATCATTCAGGACCACCTCTAATTCGTTGAGAAACTCGTGCATCCAAATGACCACCTCAGTTGCTTCTAATGTAGCAATGTGGTGGGACTGAGTAGTCGAGTACGCAGTAGTCTCTTGCTTGGAAGTCTTCCATTCCACTACTGCTCCATTAAGATTGAAAACATATCCTGATTGTGACTTATACTCATCGATCATTATCATTCATGAAGCTAGCATTAGAGTAATAAAATATTGTTATTTCATCCTGACCACCATAAATCCAGAAATATCTTTAATTCGTCTAAGATACTTATGAATTGTCTTAACAGAACTCCAATGTCGCTCACTTGGGTTATTTTGATATCAACTAACCACATTAAGCGCATAAGCCACATATGACCTAGTCTGGATCATAGCGTACATAATTTATCGAATAGCAAAAGCATATGGAATTCCTTTCATGTATTTTGATTTCATCGTCAATCTAATGACTATCCCTCTTAGAAAATGATATCCCATGACTCATTGGATTCTTCCATTCTAAATCATTGTATTGTTTTGTTAGTATATGTGAATTGCGAAAGACGCAACATCCTATTAACTCTATCTGAATAATTTCAAGGATATAACACGATTCACTTGGATCTAACATTTTAGATACCAAATTTTCACACATTTCAATGAGGAGATGTGATTCCTTGTGATAAAAAAAATGTCATCAACATATATGACTATAAAGATCAAGCATTGTTGATGTGCTTTGTAAACATGCAAGCATCCTCGTTGCTTCAAATGAAGCCAAATGATTTGGATACTTAGCCCAAATGATCAAAATCGATATTCCAACTCCTACAGGCTTGCTTTAGCCCATAAATGAATTTATCCAATTTGCATACTATTTGGATATGACATGTATACTAACCTTCAGGTTGTACCATGTACACCTCCTCCTTGAGGTTTCCTTTAAGGAATGCAACTATGACATCGATTTGTAAAATCCCATAATCATATATGTTAATATTGCACGTAAAATTCCAATAGACTTGAGTTGTGAAAATGGATAATGGGTCTCACTATAGCCAGTTCCTTCTTTTTATTATAAATTTGATCCACAAATCTCACCTTGTATGTTTGCACCTTGCCATCAACATTAAATTTGTTTTTGAAAATTCATTTGCATCGAATTAATTTAACCCCTATAGGCTTGTTCATCTATCCATTTTAATAACATATATTTGAATGAGATGATATGAATATGAGGTTCCTCCATAGCAAGTATTTCCATAGTTCTTGATTTTATCGATTTTATCAAGCTATCGGGTATAAACCCAATATTCTACGAGTTTGTCATCAGCCTTCTCATCTATTTTGAATTGATCTTGATGCCTCGGTCTCCGCCTGAACCACTTCCTTCCTTTATTCTCATAAAGGTTAATTGTATGATTTACAGTCAAACTAATTTTTTGAAGTGGTGGACGCTCAATCTGATTGGATCGTTGCTTGTTCACTGGATTAAAATAATCTTATGGATGGAGTTTATGAAGATGATTTGCATTCATTTTTTTAATATTTTTATATGTTTACTTTATTACCGTTTTTGCTTAATTTTACGATATTTATTCTTGTTCTTTCGTTGGTTTAGTTGATAGTATAGGATTTTTCTGTTTGCTTAGAAGTAAGAGGACCTTTGTGATTAATGATAGCTTCAAGTTTAAGTGGTGGTTAGTGATTCGAGTTGCTCTTGTTAGGGTGATCATTTCCATATCTAATCGTTAGACATATATATCTAGTGATTGTTTATGTTCTTTGTCCATTGTACTCACAATATCTATTTTGAATTAATATAAATTTGGCATTTACTATTAAAAAACTTTGTATTGTGGTTAAATAGATTAGTTTTAATGTCTATATAGAAGTTTCGTAGAGTACAATGTACCTCTCAATTAAACAACACAACAAGGTAATTAAAAGGAATATTGCACTCGTCCTCAAATGTGTGTGTGTTGATAGTTGATTACCAAAATATATGATTGTGTTGAGATGACGAATGCAGATCATCATCATCATCGCGAGATGGGGAATGGACATGTCGACCTTCGTATGATGTTATTACCATTCTTGGATCCTCTGCTAACCTCTCCACGCGTTTCTTAACCCGACAATTATCTTGCGTGCATCTATAATAACTCCTGCATTTGAAGTAAGATTATTTGGGTTTCATGGTCAACTTTACAATATTATTAACAATGTTCAAAATATTAGAGTATGACAATGTACAATAGCTTGTGGGGAAAACAATATAAACGAAGGGAAGAAACAAGGATATGATAGATAAAAGAAATTCCATGATTGGAAACTTTAACACAGTATCAAGTTTCATAATATTCTTATTCACTTTTTGAGTTTCAATATAGTTTCAAGTGTACTATCAACAGTTCAACCCATTTAAGTTGTAATTATAAGTTGTAATTGTTAGTTGTGGCTTAGATTTTATATGGAAATTTTACCTTCTATCAATAAAACATGATCCCCAGACTTTTTTGGGATTAAGACTTGATAGAATGTTGTTGTTGTATATATCAATGAAACATGATAAACTCAATTGGAAACTTTAAACATACAGGAGGCGGTGATATTTTGGTCCATGAGTAAGATAAAACGACTAATCTTGAATGTAAGAATAATGGTCATTGCAGATTTCAATCATGAGTACAAAACAATTGTGATTTCAGAAGGCACTTGCAAGTCATTAAGTGGTAACTCTTAAACAGAAGTGTGGTGGCATGTTCAAATAAGTGAAGACCATTGAAGGTATTTGTAAGAGGAGGGAGTTGAACATTAGAAAGTTATAAATAAATAAAAGTGTACCCCATGTTATTTCCTTAGAGTGAAAGTATCAATTAACATTAATGATGTTATGGCTTGATCAAAGCATTCAGAAAAGATGGAGGAGCAAATTTGCCAACTAAGAACAAGAACGAAACAAAGAAACAGGCCCGGATAACTTAACACGTGAGCAGCCCACTTAGGAAGTATTTGCTAAAACTTAAAAAAAGTTCTTTTCAGCTATTGACTTTAAAAAGATGGAATAAAGTATTTTCAAATGACATCTTCTACTTAAATTAAGCACTTAAAAACTAAAAGCTGGAAGTAGGTGGAAGAGTGTTTTAAACTGCTTTTCACTTTTTCTATTACACAAAAAACACTTATTCTATCAAACACTACCAACTTTTACCTTTTAGAAGCACTTTTTTCTCAACCACTACCAACTTTTACCATTAAGTACTTTATCCAAAATCACTTTAAAAAAATCATTTTTTGAAGTATAAGCAATCACAAACACTCCCTTAGAGAACCTAATTACTCCATAATATTTCAAACCTAGATTTTGTATTCCATTTTGAAGTCATTTGAGTTTGCACCTAAAGTTCCAAAAATGGATGCAAATGAGATATGAATCTAATTAGGATCTCAAAATCAAAGAATTGAAAACAATCTATTTCTATTCAAATGTTGGGGTGAGAGTACAAACTCAAAAGATTGTAAAAACAAGTGATGCACCAGCAAATTTTGTAGTGAAGAAGTTTACAAGCTAAATTAAGGGGAAGAAAGTGATGGATGTCTCTGTTCTAAAAGTTTGGCAATACGGGCCAGTATATAAGGTGGCAAGCATAATAGTTACTCCTCAAAGTGATGGCATAGTAGTCCTAGATAGGCATGAGACCAACTTAGGTTTATATGGTAGTATTAATGTCATAAATTGGAGTATTTTATAAACATTTTAATAATTATTTTAATGTAGAAAAAAATACATAGTACTCCTCTATTGGAATATCACATTTTTACTAGGACTAAGCAAAACAGTTTGGTTCAACTAGAACAGACCAAATCAAACTTAAAAGTGGTACTTTGATTCATTTCGGTTCACTGAAGTAAACCATTTGGTAACCATATAGTCAAATTGAATGGCTTGTTTTGGTTTAGTCTTAAATAAGAAAAACCCATACATCGAATTAAACAATGTTTAATATTACCTCTGTCCCGGTGAACTTTTCCAAGTTAGAATTATATGAGAAATAAGAAAAGTGAAAGTTGTGTGGTTGTGGTTTGTGTAGAAGAGAAAGAAATGAGTTGAACCACAAATTAATTACTTTAATAGGGAAGCGATAAAGTTTTTCGGGGTAACTAAAAAGAGAAAGTTGGCAAAGTTCAATTGAACTAAGAGAATATTTATTAAAATTATTTATATTTGTCTATAGACTACGGTCTTCGCGTGTAGGCTAGAAATAAGTAAATTATACATGGAAAACAATGTGTAAATGGAAAAGCATTGGAGTGACTAAGAAAACTGATTCCATGTACGGGGTGTTTGGAATTGATTCTGCTTCTGCTTCTTTTTTAAAGTAGAAGCAGAATCAGTTTTTCAGAAGCTGGTCTCCCCTAGCTTCTAAAAAAACTGATTTCAGGAATAAATTAGAGCACCAGAATCACTTCTGCACTTTCACCCAAACACTCCGACTTCTGCTTCTACTTCATGGAAGAGCAGAAACAGTTTAAGAATCATATCCAAACAATCCCTAATTTTTGCACAAGTAATTTATACGTGGTATCTTCCACGGCAAAAATAATACGTACGATTAGTATACTACTACAGTACTACGTACTAGATATTGCTACAAAAATGTATTGAGTTCATTGTGTATGGTTATTTTCATTTTTTTTACAAATAGATCTACTCTGTAGACTGTAGTATATTGTTGTGTTGCCAACATATAACGGTATGTGAAATAATGAAATGAAAATTTAGTGCCTATTTGGTAATTCTTTTTTTCGGCTTATCAATTTTTTCACCAAACACGTAACTTTTTATTTCACGCGCTGAATTATATAATAATAAAAAAAGTAAGGTTGGGGTTACTTTTCTGGTTGTATTGACTGAAGTTACTGTAAAAGATGACTATAGCTATTTTTTCATATAATTTTTTCATTATTTATAAATAAAAAAATATTTTAAATATTTTCTTTTCATAAATCAACAGAATTAGTCAATTCAGCTACTTAAGCCATAATTTCATAAATTTTAATAGAATCAATCGATTCAGCCAATTTTAATGTTATCAAATAGGCTTTTAAAATTACATTTGAAAAAAAAAATGAACAAAATGTTTTTATAAGGTGAAGTGGCGAACCTTTTTAAAATGATGAAATAATTAAAGTAAAAAAGAATACGGAGTACCAAACTCCACTACCACCCTGGAAAGAGCCTTCGTTGTCAGTGGCTTTTATGAAACACTGTTGGTCAACTTTTACTCGAGCACAGTGTAGATTAATTCCACAGATGAATATTGTTCATTATAACCACCATAATTGCATTGCAATAATTATCAGATCATCAGCGTATCAAATCGCCTTCCATAAATTCATATCGATCAATATATGTTCCTATAATCATTTTGAGTATTACAACATTCACATTAGACTTTAGAGGGTTCAACACCAGTAATTAACTGCATGGGTTCGCCTAAATTAGTCTAAGGATGTTTTTACTTGGATGGTAATTTGCTGGTCTGGTCTGATCTGGTCTGGTCTGAACCGGTCTGGTTTGGTTTCTTTGTATTTTTATAACTACCCAAGTCTGGTCTGATCTGGACTGGTCTGGTCTGGTCTGGTCTGATCTGGTCTGGGATAAATTACAGTCCAAGTAAAAACATCCTAAGAAAACATTTGCAATATAATTTAGAGCAAACCTAAAAATTGGCACTAAAATTTGCAATGTACTAAAATTGTACAAATTGTGACAGAAACGATTAAACGAATTAGTTATAAATATGTTTTAGTAATAAAATGAATAAAAATTACGTAGTATATGAAAAAGGGTAATATTGTCATTCAATTATAATGTCAATTTATGTCTTACTTGTTTTGATTATTACACAATTTACGTAAAATTAAAAGTTTATTATTTGAAAAAAATAGGAAAAACTGTCAATTTGGTCCCCGTACTTTCATGAAAAAGTCAATTAGGTCCAATGTTCATGGATTTGATTGATTTTTTTAAAAGTATGAGGATCTAATTGACTTTTTAATGAAAGCACAAAGACCAAATTGACAGTTTTCCCTTTGAAAATATACACTCGGTAATATATTAGACCAGTTGAAAAAAGAATTAGGAACCAACTCTTAAACTCATGATTACAGTGGTGAGATTTAGTGGTAAAGCATCGGAAATACTAAGATTTGCTGAAAATAATTATACCATATATATCATTGTGATGGGGAACTTTATTAAAATCATATTTGAAAAACACAAATTTTAAAAGCAAAAAGTAAAAACAAAACGAGGTATCAATTTGCTTGTAAGTTCAATTCACCTTTTTAATTGTCATGTAAGACATGTAGTTAAATTATCATCTGAACATGCACTAATTGCCCGGATCCTCAAAGTGAACTTCGAGGAAAAGGTACTTTCCATAGAATCCTTTAGATTCTTTTTGAACCGGTGGGCGTAACTCAATTGATAATGGGGGAGTACCACAAGAGTTAGGTTCTGGGTTCGACTCCCGGCAACTGCGATGAGAGATTACTTAATAGAGAGCCTCTGTAAATACCGGGGACGGAGCCTCACTCTCTATCTGTCAGATTGTGATTATAGTCCAATTTACATCCTCCCATCGTGCCGTCCGGTCGGTGTTGGGGGCCCCTCAGGGATGAGGTGCATTGTCATCCTTTTTTTAGATTCTTTTTGTTGTATTTGCTATTCAAATAGCCAAATAGGAGTATTACACTTTTCGATAGCAGAGTTAATTAGGAAATTACTCCATGTTTTTCATTTTTTTTTTGTATGGTTGATACTTAAATTAATTAGATCTCAAGCTATTGTACAATGTTCCAACTGATCAATTGTGGGAGCATTTGCCTATATAATGAAACTCTAATACTACGTATAATGGACCATTTACTTCGAAGTGAACCTAGACTCTTCTAGGTCATTTTATGTGTTTAAGATTAAACCATTTTTTATAAGGTACTTTTATCAAGAAATTAATTTTAGATAAACTCTCAATTTGTTATTTTAATATAAGCCACATTCTTTCAAAAAGATAAGTTCTCAATTAATCGTTTCTTTCTGAATCTCAAGTTCTCCTTAATTTACAACTAGTTTTAAAATTCTCTACAGTTAACCTTCATCCCATCAATCGTTTATTATATTACATTCATTCACATGTATGAAGCTAATATAATAAATATCCAAACACATACTTCCTCAGCTCTATGATTGAGTTCGTAAATGAATCTGAATGCATGAGTCAAATACATATATTTGTCTAAGCTATTCGATTTGATTTGGATAATTTTATACTCTAATTTCAATAATATTTATTTGTTTATATATCGATCATAAATAGTACTCCGTATTATATTCATGTTGGATTTGGCTAATTATTTTACATATGACCATTTTTTTCTAATGTGTGTGTTATGTTTATATTGAGATTAATGAAAATGAAAGTATATCAATAACTAATTAACTACCGTTGCATATCATTTGTTTCTTTTTTTGCTTGATTTTTATTTTAACTGTGAAAAATCAATATTCTGAATGCTGAAAAAAAATTAGACACATAGAATTAGAAACATAAGGACTGTGGAACTATTAAAAAAAATCATTGAAATAAAATTTATTTACAAAATATGTCTAAATTTAGTATATATGAGTATGGTGTCATTGTCACTTGGAAGTAAAAATTGAACATAAGTTACACTCTAGTCATTAGTAAGTTAAACAATCTTAATTTTAATTATAAATATGTAATTATTTCAATTTTATAAACGTTTTAAGGAACTTTTATCAAAATTCCCTGGCCAGTTTTTGTCTAAAAATAATGATTTCCGCATGTCTGATTTCACATTTCGCGTTACATACATTCCAAGTCCTCTTCCGATCTCCTCCGATATATATGCCTCAACCAACAAATACAACGCATCTTAAATTATTTTAGGTGAAACTCTTGATTTTAATCACAAACCACTCCATATACAGGTTGCAAGTGATTTAATGTTTTATTTGATTTGTAATTCCAATTAGTATGTGACTAATAATTACATATTTATAACTAAAATAAACGATGTTTACAAAAATGTGACCAGTGACTAGAGTAGTAATGAAATCATAGTAACTTATTTTAATTTTATAAACTTAGGTTACTATGACACTACATTAATGTAGTAACTATTAGTCATATTTTTATAACTAAGTATGTTTTTATAATATTTTTGAAAAAAAACCCATAAAAGTTTAAGCATTTTCTAAAAGTGGAAAGTCCATCACTCCATGTAATTACATATATATTTATGACTAAAAGAAATGATGTTTATAAAAATGTGACTAGTGACTAGAGTAATAATGAAATCATATTCACTTATGTTCATTTTATAATATTTGTTGAAGTTTATTCCTTCAACCCTCGGATCCAACACGTAAGCCCAATGATTTCGAGTGGATTGTTTTAGTGCGAATGATTAACTGATCCAACAGCAAGTAAGATGAGCTAAGAGAATGATGAGCAAATAAAGGATCGGATATTATTAATGATGAATAACGCCCCGATACATTACACTTGCTAAGGCTGAAGACCATTCGTCCTATACTGCAGTCGAAGAGCTACGAGTTATATGCTAGGAATGCTAAGGCTAATAAGTTGCCAACCAAAAGTCCCTTTACATGGAGGGAAAGCCTGCTATTTATAGGGAAAAAGGGATAGGGGAAAAGCCTAATCTAATGGGCCGGAAGGGCCGAAATGGGCCTAATAGGCAAAAAATAGGTCCCGTTGATCGGGCTCTGTACTACGTATAGTCTTGGACTCCTGAACAGTAACGGGCCGGAATAATATATCTCTAAACAATATTTTCGAAAAAAAATCCATAAAAGTTTAAGCATTTTCTAAAAGGCGGAAAGTCGATCACTCCATGTAATTAGTTTTTGGACATGTTTAATTGCACCCTAAAAATCGTGAATATTGATTTTTATTAATTCCTGGCTTTCGAGCAAACAACCAAATCCTTCGATAAGGTGTATACACTAAACCAAAGTATTAATTTATCAAAGACCAATCAGTTTAACTGGATTAACTACTCCTATATATGTCAAACACCCACTAAAGCAAGTTTAATTATAAATTTACTACTCCTGTACTCGAGTACTACGTAAAATGACAAAGCTAGCTAGCTTTGCTAGGTATATTGATTGTATAGGTGTTATTGGACTTGTGATTGAAATTCACATATATAGCTTTAATATAATTAAGGTTGTCCATTGTAATTTTAATTAATTAAAGATCGATAGGAATGAAACAGTAATTATATGTATAGTAGCAACTAATTAATAAATTAACCTGGGATGTTGGGTGTTCTTGACAACTTTTTGGCCATATTTTCTCCACTTATACCCATCATCCAACACATCCACATCACTCATGGTCTTGAAGCTGAACCTTGGCTCTCTCACCTTCCTTCTGGTTGACTTCTTCATCTTCATGGCTGCTGCTCCTAATGATGTCACCCCCAACTTCTTACTCCTCTTTATGCACTCATTCATTTCTTCCCATTCCCTAGAATTGAAAACACACACAAATATTCTTCAAGTTATAAAATCATGCGCTTTTTATTATTCCAATTCTATACAAGCAAATAAACATGCAAATTTAATTAACTGCTATGAATATATGAGAAAATTAAATCTGAACCTAATTAGCTTAGCAAGCTGCCAGTAAACTAATTAATTGCTTCCCCCGTCCCGCAAACTGCCGGTTTGACTTGGATCAGAGTTTAAGAAATTGAGAATAAAGTGAAAATGTATGAATAGATGTAGTTGCGTAAGAAAACGGTAAATGAATGATAGCCACACGAAACTTTCCAAAAAGGGAAATGAGAAGAATTTTTTGGAACGTCCCAACAAGGAAAGAATTTTAAGGGAGGAAGGGAGTAATAAACAGACCAAAAGCCTAGCTAACTAAAAAAAAATTAACTCAGATCATAGAAAAGAAATTCTGATCACTCCCTTAATTGGCTTTTTAATAGGTAGCTATATATAATTTCTGAAATTAATTAATTACCACAAGTATGGAGTGGATCTCTGCAAGGAAAGGAGTTGGGGTGCTCCAAAGTGGGAAGATATGCCGTCTCTTTGATGAAGGTTATTATGATGAGGGGATGAAGATTCATGGAGAGAAGGCAGTGGGGCAAGAGAGGGTGTGATGAGGGTTTTTAGAGTCTCAAATGGAAGAGTGGTATTATTATTATTGCAGCATAAAAACTGAAGCTGTTGCAGGGATGACATATGATCTTGATCCTCCTGAAACAAGATGTGGTCTAGTGTGGCTTGGGATGCGCTTCTCATCTCTCTCTTTCTTTCTTTCTCTCTTAGATCATCTGCTGTGGTGTCTTTGTGCGTGTGAGTTAGGACTTATGAGTGGGGAGGAAAAGTTGATTGGAGTATAGTATAGGGTTCTATATATATACTTGTCAACTTAGGCTGCAGGTTGCGAACCCATGGGCTGAAAATGTTTTTTTGAACTTTTCACCTCAAATTTGGTGCGAACCCATACAATATCCTGGATTCCATTTTTTATCTTACAAATTTTATAAATACCACCAACTTATTATCTATATTTATTTTAGTTTTCATTTTTTATATCACATTTATTCGACTTTTTATTCACTTTTGCTCCTCGATTTCGTGTAATGTCCGGCCATCTGGAGACATTAATAAACATTGTCTATATTTATTTCTATCCTATGTGGCATAAGAGATATATAGAAATATGATGATTATTTTAATCTAATATGGGGAAAGTTGTGTATGAGCTTGGCAACTCTTTTTCTCTCGCTAATCCAATCCATTGTGGCCTCTTTGTACGTGCGTGTGACTTGGGACTTGTGAGTTATAAGTAGTGAGTGGGGAGGAGAGTTGATTAAACTATAAGGTTCTATGTACTTGTGATATATAGAAGGCAAAGTTACGAGTTAGAGAAAAAGAGTAATATGATAATAATTGATTTAAAAAATGTTTATATCTGCCCCAGGGGTATTTATACTAGTAATAAATGCTATGTGCATTAAATACATGTACAAGTGTGAGCTATTCTATGGGCAAAAGCCCTCCTATGCGGCAGAATGTGAAGTGTGACATTCACTGATGATATGTCGAGTTGGTGGAAGAGGTGCCCCGGCAAGACGAGGTGCTTGGGCACTCATCCCTGTTGTTTCCTTTGCCTTGAGTGGGCTTCTGTCTGGGTTGATCCAGGATGAGGTGCCCACCGTGGGCATGTGTGTAACGATACATGTCTAATGTGTTTGTCACTTGATTCTCTTCGTCCCGGTTGTCCCTAGTGTTGGCGACCCTCGTCTGGCCGAGGGTCCAGCCGAGGTGGGTAGTCCAAAGTATTTTGAGCCGTTTGCACATGGATCTCTAAAAACTTATAAACACCAATGAAAGTAAGGGCATGAATGGTATATAAAAAGTGTTGGTGTAATAGTAAAACAACGCATGGTTGGCCTCTAAGCTTAATCGATAGGACTCTCAATTTTTACTCATCATAAACCTTCTTACTCCGTCAAAACGTTCTCTTTTGGATTAATAGTTGCTCCGTTTTGTTTCACTGAAGCTCTTTCGCATTTCATATTAATTGCAACCATTTATTGTGATTAATAGGATCTTTAGCTGGTGACTGGCTTTATTATTATCCAATGTCTTTAGTTTTCTTTTCGTTTCTACTCTAACCATTAGACTTAAGTTGATTGAGTTTTCTAAAAAATGATGACAGCGGACTTTTTCTTAGCTTTCAGGTACACTAACTTAGAGAATAATTGATAAAGCAAATTATTATATATAAAAAATTCTTAAGAGCATAATTTGTACTTCGTATTTATCGAATAATCAACATTAAATTATATAAATTGGAGGATGAGACAATAGTGATGCTAAAGTTCCAATATTTAGTTTTATTCAGAATGATAAGCACATTAACTAATTACATTATGAGTCTGTTTGGTAACACTGAAATCGGCGGAATCAGCTAATTATGCTGAAACTTCTGAAGTTCTGAGTGTATTGGCTGATTCTGTTGATTTATGAATAATTATATTTAAAATATATTTTATTGATAAAATAAAGAAAAAAAGATGTGAAAATAGCTAAAGTGGTCATCTACAGTAACTTCTCATCCAATACATTCAGAAAAATAACTTCAACCTTGCTTTTTCTTATTATTACACAATTCAGGAAATTAAAAGTTACGTGTTTGGTTAAAAAGTTGACTGACAAGTTTGATAAACCGAAAAGCACAATCACCAAATGAGCTCTATATTGTTTTTGCACAAAACTTGCACTAAAAATGCTTTTGTTGGGGTGGTTACTTACAATTCAACCATATTTAATTCAATCGTGCACATTTATCATGTGTAACTTTTATTAATTGTTGCTTCAGTGTTTTAATCGTAGGTAAAAAATAAAGTATTTCATGGGAAAATTGTTTTTTGTTTGAAAGAAGTATGTAACTTTACAAATGAAATCCTTGTGGGGTGGCTTAGTGAAGGGATACCCTTATGATATGTTTGTTTTGAGACACAGGTGGATGTTCAAGGAAATTGAAGGGAAGCTAAAAACATATAGTCTCTGTAATTGGCTAATTGATCTAAATTAAATATGATATAGGATATCCTATCTTTGAAAAGGTGTTGCTCTTTCGACATGATCACATTTGCACAATCCACCAAATCCTAGATTGTAACATATGTCTTTTGAGCATATTACATAACATTGACATTCTATCATAAGGCATTGATAACAAGGTGTATGTGAGTTTAGCATTATCTATTTGTTTTTTGCACTCTAATCATATCTGCATTCTTGATGTGTGTTTTCTCGCACTTAAAATAGTTGTAGAAAAGTGGTGTAAAGTACGAGTATCGTCTCCACAGGGACGGACAAAAGGGAAATAAAGATTAACTAAACTTTAGTGATTAAAAAGAAATAAATAAAATAAAAGTGCATATGTGCGAGATTGATTGATTGATTAAACTAAAACTAATGCTAATGAGCGAATAAAAAGATTTGGTTTTCCTTAATTAACGACGAAGGGAACAAGAATTGATTCCGGGGTTAACCAGATTTTTGGCAGAACAGGCCTAATCACATGAATTTAATTTAATTAAGCCTAGCTAATCATTAATAAGTTCTTACCGCTCTCGCGACGTAGAGTACAATAATTTAGGAGTCCAGGCTGATCTCTCATGCGACAAGATCCTAAATTATTGCCAAAACGAGGGAGCTTACGGCCCCTTAATCGTTACTAATCCCTTAGCGAACGATTAAGTGTGTGTGAATGTGTCCTAGAACAAATTAGATCTCTCTTAATTTATTCTATAAGCAATTGTAATTCTAGTGGCCATCTAGGTTACAAGAGATATCAGTTAAATTATTCAAACACAAATTAAACGGCATTCATGCAATTAAACCGACAAGAATCTAGCCATCAATCATGATTAACCCCTTCATCAACCCCAAATCCCTAATTAAACTACTCACAATTCATAATTGAAGAATCAACAGAATTGAGATGAATAGAAATAATTGTCATTAATTAAGAAGATGAACTTACAAATAATCCCAGGGTCTTGGAAGAAAATAGCGTAAGTGTGTGTAAATGTGTCCTAGAACAAATTAGATCTCTCTTAATTTATTCTATAAGCAATTGTAATTCTAGTGGCCAACTAGGTTACAAGAGATATCAATTAAATTATTCAAACACAAATTAAACGGCATTCATGCAATTAGACCGAAAAGAATCTAGCCATACATCATGATTAACCCCTTCATCAACCCCAAATCCCTAATTAAACTACTCACGCCTCATAATTGACGAATCAAAAGAATTGGGATGAATAGAATAAATTGTCATTAATTAACGAATTGAACTTACAAATAATCTCAGGGTCTTGGAAGAAAATAGCGTAAAAACGGTGTTAAATTCGTCCCTAGGCCTCTCCGTAATGTTCGTCCCCCCCAAAACGGGGTTATGGAGGCCTTATTTATAGAAAACAGTGAATTCGGGTCGAATTAGGACAAATCGCGGCCAGGCACGGTGCCAGGCATGATCGTGCCTGCGACCGTGCCTGCGGAAGATGCCCGTAATTCGCGTCCAGGCACGGCGTGCCTGACTACCAGGCACGATCGTGCCTGGCCTCCAGTAGCTTGTTTCCTTGATCAATGCCAGGCACGGCGTGCCTAGCTGCCAGGCACGATCGTGCCTGGCCTCCAGTAGCTCCCAGGATGATTCCTCTTCAGGAACGGCGTGCTTAACTCCAGGCACGACCGTGCCTGACCCTATTCTTCATTTTTCTTTCGTTTTCTTGCTCCGAATGCTCCCGGATGCCTACGAGATCGATCCAAATGCTCTTTCTTCACTAGAATTTCGTCGTGAATCTCCCAGTGGTCTCCAAATCTTCCAAATCTCTCTCGAATGCCTTCAAACCCTTCCCGAATGCCTCTCAAGCGCTGATTGCCGGACTCTAACTTCTTCAAATCAACTCCAAATGCTATGAAACTCGATCCAACGCCTGTTAAACACAACTTGAGCCAAAATTGAGACTTGCAACGCCTTAAAGCCAGAAAAATCATCAAAATCCGACCCGAACACGCATCAAATGCGTGTCTAAATACGGACTTATCAGACTCCCCCACACTTAAGCTTTTGCTTGTCCTCAAGCAAATCGAACAACGGGACTTACGATAATCACCACACGGAATTTAAAATAGTTAGCATACACACGTAGTTAAAGGGATATTCACAGGACAGACAATCTAAATCAAGAAGATTCTTCCCTAAACTACATCTTTGTACTCAAGCTAAACTATTTGACACAATTATTCATAACATCCTCAAAGTAATGACAGCATACACAAATAAACTAGCTACTGATCAGAAGGACTTGTGAATGTGATGGTGAATGGTTAATAATAATAGTCCCTTTATTTTGAGAGATAGGAATATTCTAACAAAGACTTAATGTATATAGGAATTTCAGGGCTATTCTTAGGAACAAGGAACTCAGTAGGCCACAAATTAGGAATAATCATTTAAACATATGCAAAGAGTAGACATGGCGTACAACTAAGCTAAACCGCCGCGACACATTTGTGCTTTGACGTATACTTGAAGTACGCGGAGGACTAAAGCTAATTTTTCAATAGCCTCCAAGTTCATTAATTATGGTTTAGTTTTCCTTGTCATGTTGGCACGAGAACGCCGTTTCTTTCGAAAGATACCCAAGTCTCATCTTACGCTTTTTGACCGGGGCTCCCATTCCCTTTTTCGCAAAGTAAGAGGTCTAGCTATATTCATTTTTCACCTTTCGGATTCTCACTAGACATTACCTCATTCTAATCTCGGCCTCACCAAGGAAAAATAGCAATTAAGGT